CTAACATTCTGTCATTCTGTGATTCTGTGATCACCTTGTCCAGATTGTAACATGAAGCCTGGGCCCATATAGGAAGTCTTTCAACACAGAGGGGCATTTTCTGCTATGGTTGGAGTGATAGTTTAATGTTCCAGGTAAATGCTTCCTTAGCCGTAACTTAGTAAATTTATTCTTTCAGCCACTCTGCAACCTTGACTGCTGCCACCCATTACAACAGTTCCTTATTTCTATGTTTTTTCCCCAGTCTGTTTTTTGTAGACTGCAGAAGATCTTGGAGCTGAGGAAGAAAGGGGTTGGGAACATCAAGAAATTATGCCAGATGTTAACTGGGGAGAATCTCGAGGGCATGCTGTTGCCCGCCAAACTCATCTTATTCGGCTGTTACAGGGCCACAGTTTGAATGCAGGTGTCTTCAGCAATAGCCATAGACTTCACTCATGCTTCAGTATTCCTGCCTTTAATATTTAAAAAGGTTTAGCATTAGTGAACTTGAATTCTTTATCTGGTGAAGGCAAATACATAAACTGGAACTTTATGTATGTTGTTTAGCCTTTTTTCTCTCTGTTAGGTTACAGGACATTTCAGTTGACCTTCCCTGTTGAGGCGACAATTGCTCCGCTAGCACGGATGCTTGTGTATACCACTTCACCCAGTGGGGAAGTCATCGCCAGTTCAGCAGATTTTGAGGTTGAAAGTTGCCTCCCCAATAAAGTGAGTATAACTCCAGGTTTATGTAACTCATGTCTGTTTCTTGGACAGTAGTTAAGTTTCCAGTTCCAGAATAGAGTCAGAGCTCACAATGGGTTCATGAAATGGTTTGACCAGATGTTGACTGAGGATTAGTGACTGAAACTCCAGAAAAAAGTGGAGCAAGACACAATAAGAAAGAGAATCATTGATCATTATGAATTACACTGGTCAAAGCTGAATATATATTAGAAGAGCTGAAAGACATTAGCAGAGCTCAGTTCACAAGGCTAGATGCTTCAGTATGATAGCATGTAAGACCATCTGGAAAAGTGGATGCTTTAACTTCCTTTTGGGGTTGCAGGTCAGACTGAGTTTCGTACCCAAGAATGGCCTTCCTGCCTCCAACACACACCTGCAACTCCATGCCTCACCAAGGTCCCTGTGTGCCCTCCGTGCTGTGGACAAGAGCGTTCTCCTCATGAAGCCTGAAGATGAGCTCTCTCCCAGCTCTGTAAGTCTTGGCTATTCCTGGTAATAGCAAGTACAAGAACCAACCATGTACCTATTAACACCACTACAGACAGGGGGGTGTGTATTTTTATATCTGCATTCACTACATCTGTTTTTAAAAGCTGGCTTTTATAAGTGGAGTGTTAGGTAGTGCCTGTGCCCTTGTAAATGCTGACCTGACACATTTTTTCCTGGTTGGTTGTATTTCCCCAGGTGTATGATCTTCTCCCACTGAAGGAAATACGGGGTTATAACTTCAAAGACTACTACCTGGAAGAAGACAATGTAAACCCTTGTGTGTCACTTGACAACATGTTATTAAATGGATTTGTCTACATACCCATTTCTCCTGATGGCGAAGGTGATGCCTACGACATTCTGAAAGTAAGCTCCAGTCTTTTGGTTTGAGTCATTCTTTCTTGTTGGAACACAGTATTCTCTCCTCTTCTCCCCTGTCCTAAAGGGTTTTTTTAATGAACTTTGCTTTGAGTTTTCTAACTTTTCTATGTGAGAAAAGAACCATACCCAGGCCCTGCATGTGTGTAGCCCACCCTTGGTACCTAAATGCTTTTCTGAACCTTTAAAACTTTGAAGTGTCTCCTCATTGTTAGTAGAGATACCCGAGAAGTGACCCCTGGTACCATAATGTTAGAAAATCTTCCTCAGTCATGCATGTTCTTTCTCTGTCTTGTATAGATAGGTATTTAATAAAGTGCTAGTTACTTTTATAACCCACAGACACACCTATACCCATCTAGGAAGTCCTGCACAAGACTTTTTGGGTACTCTCAATCCAATACTTTTCACACGTGTCATTTTCACCCTGGCAGACATACCCAAGGTAGACCTGTGGATTAGCTTTCCATCTGATAATGCCAGCATTTAGCCTTAGGGTGAATATAACATGATAAAACCTTAGCACCTCTGTTGAACCAGGCTATCTGACATTTCTATACAAGCCTTTGTCATTCTGATTGATTCTAGGCATAAGTACATCTATTCTTGACATACTAAAAATAGTTTCTTTTCAAAAGTTTGTTTGCATATTTTTTGTTCTTCTTTTCTTTGTTTACTAGGAATTGGGCTTAAAAGTCTTCACTAGCAGCAAGATCCATAAGCCTGAAATCTGCCAGAATTATCCAGGACACATGATGGAAAGGAGTTACAGTGGTTCTAGTACCTGCTTTATTTTACCTCTCACATAACTAACTAAAATTTACCACCCTGCTTCTTTCCTTCCCTCTACTTCTTTGAATGTTAATTACACCAGGCAGATCAGGTTCTGTTCAGACATACAGACCGAATTCAGGATCACTTGCTTCTGGACTCAGTCCTGTAGTATGAAACTGATCCACCTCTACTTGCTTTATCCCCAGCTGGACAGATATGCCTGGCTAGAACTGTGTGTGCTCAGTGACTCCTGTGCAAGCCTCTACAGCAGGGAACCTGTAGGCACTAAAACAGTCTTCCAGCACAAAGTAGTGGCTTTTTTTTCCATCAGATCCAAGTCCAGATATGGAAACCTAAAAAAGGAGTCTCTGCTTCTATGTAGTCACATTCTAGCAGTAACTAGAGGAATAATTTGGGTGAAAGTGGGCCAAGACAAATGAGGTGGTACAATTTTGTAGGCAGATATTTTATCACTAGGGACTGAGAAATTTGGTTCTGTTCCCAGCTCTTCCGCTCACATGACAATAAGAGGATGGGAAGGTCTCTTCACTTCTCTGCAGCTTCAGTGGTTGTGAAGATAGAATAATTATACTACTTTTTTCTTTTTTTCTGAATAGTTCTCAGATTAGAAAGACTACATAAAACACTCTCACCTATATAATTTCCACTCACTGACTTTTCTGGTGCATTATCCCAGCTCCAATTAAAAAAAATATAGCCTTTGGTCTGGTGATAGCCATAACAGATCAGATCTTTGGTTTTGAAATGAAGGATCTGTCTTAAGAGCATGGCCTGAGACAGCTGGCACCTTTGAGAAGATGTAAAGTCTTCTAAGGCTGATGTAAAGCCTTCTAAGGCTGATGTAAAGCCTTTCATAACGCTCAACACTATGCAACACTGTGAGAAAATGTCTCCCTATTCCGGAACCGTTTGTTTGCTAATGACCAGATAAAGACAGATGTTTAGCTCAAAAGCTCCTCTTAAATCGAGGAGGAGAGGGATAAATGTGGCTTCTGTTTCTGGTCCTGTATAAACACAATCAATTCTTTGATAAAATTTAATAAATTCTGTGCAACTGTGATATCTGGACAAAGTTCCATGTTTGATTCTGCATTGCAATAGAAATATACCCTCAATGGCATCATGATACATGGCTCTCTTGGCACTGCTGGGTTTGCTGGCAGTGAGGGAAGAATGCTCAACCCCACAGAGTCTCTGTAAAAAGAGCAGCAACATTAAGAAAAATGCAATATTAAGAAGACAACAGAAAGATAAATTTGTTCCCAGTGGTCAAGGTTTGAAAGTTGTTATTTCAGTTTTAACATTTTTACCTAAGAATAACCCCTGCCTGGAAGGAAAGTATCCTCCTGATTTAGAATGGAGTTTGACATGCCTTTTCCTTTCTTCCTGTCCTTGAACAAATTTGCTAGTCAGCGCATTGCATCTGCTCGAAGATTCAGACTATGGAATGATGGAACATATATCTGCTGACAATCCTGTGGAGACCGTCCGGAAGTACTTCCCTGAGACATGGATCTGGGACTTAGTTTCTGTGAAGTAAGTGTTTGTGGCAATGCAGAGTGTGGTCACTGGGGCAAAATCTCAGAAGGTATTTAAGTCTCAATGAAAGTACCAGAATTTCCGTGGGAGGCATATTTCTAGTAGACAGAGGGATTTTTCAAGGTGACTAAGTAGATGATGGCTTGGGATGACATGCTAAAGCCACTGCTCATATCCCAACTTGTCAGGAGTTTGCTGTGAGCAGGTGTTGTTCAATAGGATTACAAAGACATAGATGATGACCAGAAAATTACTGAAATCCTCTTCTCTGTTCCTCCCCAGCTCTGAGGGAAATGCTGATCTAGATGTGACCATCCCTGACACCATCACCGAGTGGAAAGCCAATGCATTCTGCACTTCGGCAGACACGGGCTTTGGCCTGTCTCCAACAGTGTCCCTCAGAGCCTTCCAGCCCTTCTTTGTAGAGCTCACCATGCCCTACTCCGTAGTGCATGGTGAGTCCTTCACACTGAAAGCCACCGTTTTCAACTACCTGGCTGCCTGCATTAGGGTAAGAGACTTTCAGAACTTTGACAGCTTAGGAAAGACTACAGTGGACCATTTGTAACATGGTTTCCCAAGCCAGATGACTCATCTCTGAGTAGAATTTCATATAGGTATACATATGTAGGAGTTCTTGGTGGATTTTATGAAAGAGGATTATGTTTTTCCAACAAAATTTTGAAATCTGCATTTGGTACAGAACTCAAAGCTCTGCTACTGAGGCCCCCAGCTTTGTAATCACAGATTTATGTCACTGCCATATAGAAATATGAAACTTGAATTATCCACAGACCACAGCATCATTGCATACCCACACAGAAACTCCAGGTTCACCAGGGTAGATACCCATGTTCAACCTTTAGTCTCATCTCATACAAACCTCTCACAGAGTATCACACCAGATTTTCTGGAATATGCAGAATTCCTGTAATGCATTCCCTCTGTCCCTAAGACACTGACCAGAGCCGTGTAACATCACTACTCTTATCTGCATTCTTTCACAAACAAAAGAGGCAGGAGAGAATCTGGGAAGTGATTTGAACAAAATCTCAATCACTTTTGCTTTTTTTTTTGTATATGCAGATTTTTATTCTAAAAGGAGTGAAGCTGAAACAAGGAGGGGCGCTGATCTAGTCATTCCAATGCAGTCTCATTTATTTCCCTCTCTTTCCTGCTTTGTTTGCCGTTTTCAGGTTCCTTATTCAACTATCCCTTGTTCTCTAGCTTTTGCTAGCTTTTCCACTGCTAGTGTTTTACATCTTTGCCTCACTGGTCATGAGTGGGGTCTTTAATTCATGTCTAAATTTGTATTCATTGCTTTGCCTTTCCTCACACAACTGATCCATGCTCTCCATTTTTCCCAGAATCTGTTTCCTTTCCAAAGGTACACATCCAGTTCTTTACACCTACCTCCCCAATCTCTTACAATTGTACACATCTCAAGTTTTTTCCTGCTTTATCACCGTGAAATATCAGTCAGAGTCTCAGTGCTCCAGTATAACCAGCTCCATTACCCATTTCCGTGTGCTGCACTGTCTCCAGTAACCCCAGCTTCTCTGCAATCCCAGCCTTCATGACACTTCTCTGTACAACCGGCAGGTCAGCGTGTCTCTGGCTGAATCTACTGTTTTCCTGGCTACACCAGCAGAGAAGGAGGAAGAATCCCACTGCATCTGCACAAATGAAAGGAAAACTGTGGCTTGGGCAGTAACACCAAGGTCTCTAGGTAAGAGGCTGGACAATGAGAAAATACTGGGGTCAGATATCTGTGGATGACATAAAATCTTTGAAGTGAAGAGCTAGGTGACTCCAAACCTACCTGGAAGGCTCTTGTCTATGCCAGAAGAAACAAGTCCAACCCTAAGGTTGAGACACTACACTGGGATTGAGTTTCCAGATCCTAAACAAAATATTTAGGTGTTACAGGCCATTGTTTTTCTAACATTTGAATAGAAATCACAAATTTCCTTAATGCATGCAAAGTGC